ACAGTTTAATAACACATTTTCACGAAGGCAGACCAGAAACTTGTGGCAGGAGACTCTTTGTAACACCTAAAACTAATGAACAAACCAATACAAGTTAGTCAATTAATTTCATCATATTTGACTACTGCATAGAACGCGCATTTGTGCCGTTCCTGAGATGGACGCACAAGTTGATGTTTTGCCTGACCAATAAACCCACCCCCCAATTAAATAAATATTTGACTACACAAACTATAACTTAAGCTTAGTAAAAACCACAGATAAAAATTTTATTCCACACGTAAGTGCTTTAATGTGCAAAAACATTATGCCCAACCACGCTACGAAGGATTAAGCAAGGCCAGAGCACGGCTCCAGTACTGGTCATGTGACAGAGTCGTCAAGTTCCCTACAGACAGCCAGCGTTAAGACCGGAAACGAGATTAAGACTGAAAGTTGTACAATGTATCTTTATCTTCTATATGAAATCATCAATGAAAAATTACCCCGGAAATGCTTAACCATAAGACTTGAAAACGTTGAAAATTATAATACTTTAGTCTTCACAGTTAAATTAAGGAGTCTGTCGATAATGCTTTTGTTCTGAAAATAACCGGAAGTCTGTTAAATTCCGGCCGCTTGAAACTGGATGTTCGAGAACATTCTCGAACATCTGAGAATCCCCACCCCCACCCTCCCCGCTCTGCTAAATTGCTAACGTTAGCAATGCTCGTGAGTACAGCCCGGTTACACGCATTGAATTATACTCATAGTTCACATGACGCACCAGTTCATGGAATCTCAATTCAAAATCCTAAAGTAAATTTCGTATGTCGGCCTATGGCGACGGTTAGCAAAATATTAGCGTTAACGTCCCTCACACCATTGAAGCAAGCCACAAAAATATAAGGAGTTTTGCTTAAATACATACATATTTGACTTGTCCCAGAGTGACTTACCGAATTGTTGAACCGAGGATGACTTTAGGTGTTGTTGGAATGGACAGCGGCGAGGGTGACTTGTCCTTGCCGGTATGAGAAGGGAAAGGAGGATGGACAGTTATCGGAACCTTATATATTACCGGCAAAGCAGCCAATCAGACGTCGAGTCTCGAAGTCTTTCCTCAACGGTCCACCAATGACGCATAGTATATTTGATGACGTTAATAGTCACCCAGCCTACTTCCTGGTTTATTATCCGTGTTTCATAATCACTGAGTGACCGCATGGCTCAAGACGGTAGCTTTTTCTGGAGCTATAAGGTGTTGTTAGGAAGAAAACCTTCCATCCGACATTTGATATTTATACTTAGTGTTTATGCGTTTTATTAGTCAGTAAAATGAATTGATTTCATTGATAAGTTCCATTTAGGGAATTACAGGGGAAGTCTAAGTAGAGCCCAGGCATGGTTGGACAAGGGCTAGCTGATCTAGCTACCATTGTTTTTTGAAAATTGAAAGAAACACTGAACCGGATATTTTGTAAACATTTTTGTCCCTTAGTTATTTCGTAATGGAGTTTTATATTACCTAACATAAAAAAAAAGTCCGTAGTGTTAGCTACCTATTATAGGATACATCTGGAGAATATATTATACTGATTCTTGTGACTGATATTTTTATGAAGATGTTTCCTTAAGTTGTCATGTCATACAATGATGTCACTGAATGGAAAAAGTCAGAAGGATAGAGATAATATGTTAAAACATAATTCATATTTGCCCTAAACATCACTCATCCATGTTCAAACAAAGTATGCTATTATATTCTAGCAAAATATAATTTATTGGTACATGTAAAAACAAAAAATATACACAGTATTTATACAGTACTACAGTTACAAGCATTGTGTTACCACATTTTTTTCTTTGTAAACATACACTCTTTTTGTTACAAGTACAGTAAAAAAGCTAAAAAGCTTATGATAACAGTGCACATGATATTGCTGACATTATAAATTCTATATTTTACAGATTGCTATAGCTCTGTCTCCTTTATGTCACATTTAGCAAACGTTTTTCCCGGGGTTTGATGTTGAGAAGTCTGCTCTTCATTTGCACTCTCTGTCGCTGCCATCGCCGCTGTGTTTACCACTGAGGTTATCACTGGTGGTTCTTCAACAACGTACTGTGTGAATGCGGTGTTGAAGATCCCTGTGAGAGTGAAAGCATATTTACAATCAGTGATTCATTGAAGGAACATGTTACTTCTTTACACACCCGCACACTGTTTCTGTGGAAAGACAACTGACTCACTAGCGACTGTTCTGTCATGCTGATATTGAACATTTTATGTTAAATATGTTTGTTAAAGTTCAGTTTCTGGAACTGAATATAGTAGGCCAGCCTTGAAATTAAATGTAGTGGCTTGAAGCTGATTGTGATAATTCAGCACATATCAAGTCAAACGTAATTACAGTTACAAAAATAGCCTATTTTTTCTCAAAGGCATTTCAATATGCTTGGCATGGTGTGTCAACTAATGAGACATTGGTCCTCGATGAGCCATTCATAAAACAATGAGAATATACAAATATTACGGGTGTAAGAAAATATCAAAACACTTGATTATCGCAATATTTTGTTTTGTGATATTGTATCGATTTTTGTGTTTAAACTCCCACCTGCTTGATAGCAGTGCTGTGAACGTAAGGAGGGCTATATGATGTTGGATGTTACAGGGACTGTGATACTGTGTAATTTTTACTCTAATTTTATGCATATGGGCATGTATTCTTTATACTATTACTATTGTTTTTTAAAAAATCGCAATATATTGAATCATAACCCCTGTATCGTGATACGTATCATTCTTGCCAATACACAGCTCTAAGAAATATATGTACAAAAATACAGCTACACATTGATGTGCACATACAGAAACAGCACAGGGTTAACTAGAATTCAATGATGATATATATGTATTTTTTGATAGAATGAAATGTTTGGACATATGAAACTACTGCAAGTTTTGAATTAAACCCATAATTTCTGGTTGGTTTCCCTTATCTTATCATCTTCCTCACACGTAAATCTGGGCAACATTATTCAAGTGGAAAGCCTGTGCCTTTTCCCCCAAGGCTGCCAACAGTGAAGCCATGTTTTACTAATAATCCCATTAAATCTCAACCCCATAGTGCAACATTTTCAGCAAAGGATCCATGTTTTAATTCACAAAGCGTGTCATGGAAGCAGTAGGAACTTCTTCAGTTGGATTACAGTTTCTGCTGGCTCAAACGTCTTTCAGTACATTTCCGTGTTCCCTTTGGTCTCAAGCCATAAAAGGAGTGCTGAATCATCTGCCTACCTCTTCGCCTTTGTCCTTGGGAGTTCTTGTCTTCCTGGCTTGATTTTGATTTACTGCTCTCTTCGGATGGATCAGAGTCTTCATTCTCTGTAACAATAAAAACTGTAATATGTTTTTTTTAAATACATTTAAAAAAGAAAATAGCTTTGTGGTGCAACTACACAAACCCAGTAATAAGGAAGTCTACATATTTTACTGATCATTGCAGCAGCTTCTAGCTATATGGACACACATAAAGCAAAGGCCAGAGTAAAACCAGCACAAAGGATTTGCTTTATAAATGTATGACCCTGACTACAGTTCAAATTAAATTGTGATGTTGTTAGTCTGAGGAGCAGATAATAGGAATATATGGTCTGCTTACCTCTCTTCCAGGCGATGTGCGCTCTCCTCAGCTTGATGGCAAAGAAAATGACCACCACCAGAAGGCCGCAGATCAGGCATGTCACCAGGAAGACCAGTAAAGATGAACCTCCTCCACTTCCTGTCCGCATCTTCGGGTCATCAAAGCGCCCTAGGAATGGACAGCATGTTGTTAGTTACTTCAGCAAATCTTGAATCACTTTTTGAAGCCTATTATACGTTTTACTATGTGGACAAAACAAGGCAGGTATCTCATTATCATTTTCATACCAAAGGAATTTTAGTCTCAACCATGCAGACACTGGTACTGTACCTGTTCTGTTTCCCTCTGTACTGTTATAGGATGTGATTTCTGTAGTCGCAGAGACAGATGCCCAGCCTTTAAGGAATTATGGAGAAGGAAGATGTAATAATTAACACAGGTTTAAATAAACTGATTCACTTAATCCTGTTTTCTAAATGGAACACCTCGATTGTGGTTGTTAAGAATTACCACTAGATGGCATCAGAATAGTTTTGCACATAATATTACAACACAGTACACTGGATGTCATACCTGTTGAGCTTGTTGCATTGCTGATGGTGTCATTCCTGCTGCTGGTTGAGTCTGATAATACAGAGGTTGTTGAATTATCTACAGAAAATGAAGTTAAAAAAGCCTCATTAGAAAATAGAAGTTAGAAAAGGTCAATTCTATTGCATGAAGACAAGAAGATGAATGTTATTTACAAAGTTGTTCTGTGTAACTTTTAATCTCAGAAAGGATTTCTCTCTGACAAATTGTCCTATTGTGTTTAAAGTTAAAAACTTCCTGGGTTCACATATGTAAGTTCTTCAAGCTGGGATCTCAAACATTTGACAATGCTCTGTACATCTCGGAAAAGTTTATCACCTACACCAAGTGTTACAGTTCCGCCCCGGGCTTGAGCGCACACTTACTGAGTTTCATACTATAGTGTGAGACTTCCGTCACAGGAAACAGATCTTGTGGTATCACAACTACAGTGATAGTTAAACAACTGATCTAAAAGCATTGTGATCGCTGAGACAGTAACAGTTTCCATCGCAGGAGCTGATAGTTTATGTAATGTGTTAAACGTTTATTATACAAAGCAATAAATAAAGCATGTAGCATAGGGTAAACACATTTACGGTTAATATATCCACACCATTATTTAAGGTAGGTGTAGAGTCAGTTTCTTCTTTTAGATACTGTGCATCTAAATACATTCATGTAGATATAATGTATGTAATGTTTTTTATGAATATTGAGTCTTTGAGGCATGCCATAATTTACTATTTGAACTGATATGACATTATTATAATGAATTAAAATAACTTTAATTTACTTCTGTTTCTTTTGTGTCCCATATATCATCTCTGCACATCATCTGATATGGACTTAAAAGTGCGATGGAAATCATTTCAGAAAAAAAAAAGGGGTTTCACTTACCACTGATGGCGAGACGTGAGTCTGGGGTTGTAACAGTGTTCAGAGGAAATCCAGTGGGTGCCGTAACCGTCTTTGGCTCGTTGGAGGAAAACAGCTGACTGGAGGGAACAGTTGAGAACTTTATAGAGCTCTCTGAGGAAGGCCCGTTCACATCTGTGGTTGCGAGGTACACTGTTGTTTTCCCTGGTCTGAACCAGCTGGTGGTTGTTCTCGGCCCCTCTGTTGAGCCTGGAGGTCGAGCTGTAGGTGAACTGGTCGTGGTAGTGCGAAGGGACTTTGCTGCTGTGCCAGAGAGGGGGTTTTCTCATTATTAATAGGCAGGAACGCCATTGAAAATTAAAGTGAAAATTCTTCCTGACATTTGAACAATCTGCAAATCACACATCTGTTTTTTCAATAAGAATACAGGAAACCAGACTATTTACAACATTCAAAAAGAGGAAATTACATGGGGCTATTTGGTGGTTGGTCAAGTTTCACAGTCTGTTTCTGTGGACAGTGTCATGGAGCAATTCATGAGAAAAAAACCTTCCCAGTGCTTTCCCTGTTCTGTGACGACACAACTACAATTTCACTGTTCCTCAAATATCACCGTTTATGCAGAAGTACGTTCTGGTAAACAAGTTCTGGTTAATACAAGGGCTATTTTTTTACTTCTAATACAGGCTTTTCTAAAGAAATAGTAACTAAAAATGGAGCTGCAAGACAGTGAGAGAGACAGAATTATTTTAATGAATTGTACTCACATTCTTGTCCAATTTTGACAAAGTTCATCAGAGGTTGTGAGTGCAGAGCTGGGTGGCGAACTAGGCATTTCACAGTGACTCTGCTCTCCACTGATTGGACACGTAAAATAGCCATTGACAAATATTTTTTATCTTCATGTAGGACTTGGTAATGAGCTGTGGAATGGGATAGATTGGCATTAGGATCAGTTTATAGACAGGTGCTTGCCAGCCTGGCATTGTCAGACTGATCCACAAATGCAGATTTGTCTGATTACCAGGCTACCAGCTTGCATCAAAGAACAATCACAATATGATATATTTAGGACCCCCTTGAAAATTCGATGCTGCATCTCAAGTTGCTATCCTTTCAATACATTCAATGATATTCAAATTCGATATGACATTGCTCATAGCTTTGATCAAAATCAATCAAAAAGGAATTTCAAAGGTCATGGTTGGCGTCAGGGCTTGAAATAACATCTGCCAAACCAAACCCCCCCCCAAACGTGGGTTAAGATTACTGTAACTGTGGAAGGTAGTGTCATAAGACATGAGCCCACTCTGTGGTTGTTCTAATCTAGTCTAATCTAGTCTAATCTAGTCTAGTCTAGTCTTTTGTACACCTACAAAAGTGCAGTTGCGACGACCACTACAAAGTGCTGGGTGTTCAAAAACAAATGTACAAGTATATCCGCTATTTTATGTGTACAAAACTATTGGATACAATGCCACATTAATCAGAAGGTTGTTTCATCTCAAAACAGCAGTGCTGTATGACAAAAAATGTCTCATCAAAAAGAGAGCCGAGTGCATCTTTAAGTTAGAACATTTGACAACAAATGAGTAGCTCTGCTTGCTTAGGTAATATCACCGTTACATTTTAACATCTATGTGCTAAACAGCTACAGCTGGCTGGCCACAAGTCGACCCTCAGCTCTTGTTGTAAGAAGTTATTGGTTTTAGCAAAGCGTTGGTGCCGCACTGGAACCAGTTTTCCAGACAAATAGTTGTTTCTTTGGCTGCTGAAAAGACAACCAATGGTTCGAGGTTAGGCACTGGCTCCAAACCATGTCGTGAGTCTAATCTATGTTATGTTAGTCTCAATGAATCACTTTGGTACACTTCTTCATTAAAGTGTAGCTTTTTCGCAACTTTAGTTATTGCCAACTTACCAAGAATTTCAGGCCCATGATTAAATTTCCAGAAGATCAGGGGAGGATAGCTGTTCCCCTCGGCAGAGCATTTTATGTCAAATCTTCCGTCATGCTTTGTTCTTGTTATTTTGGGATGACCTTTAAAATAATCACCACAGCAAACGTTATTATACTATCATGAAATTCTCATTTAACTAATAATACAATAGACCTTTTTCACAACAGCCATTTTAACCTGAAATAGTAGGGTAAACACAGGTGTTACCATTGATATTAATTAAAGTTCCCTTCTATTTATTCATGTAGTAAAGCCTTTCCAGTATGTCAACATGCACAATAGCAGCACCCTGGCTCTGTTTGACCTGAATAGAACAGAA